ATATAGTCTGAGGGGTGCCCCCTATACATTGAGGTGAGGAGGATGGAGGTGAGCGGGGCGCTGAGTGTTGCCCTGGCACTGGGTGCTGGGATGCTGCTGTATTTTTGGGGTCGGCGGCAGAATTTACCCCCTGGACCGACCCCTCTGCCCTTCCTGGGGAACATCCTGCAGGTTGAGGTCACCCGACTCATCGATTCCCTCCGCAAGGTGAGTTTTTTGGGGGGATTTGGGGGGGGGAGTGTGTGTGTCTTCTTCCTCCCCCCTCTTCTTCCTCCTTTTGCCCGCAGCTCAGTGAGATCTACGGCCCCATCTTCACCTTCCACCTGGGATCCCGACCCTGCGTTGTACTTTCGGGGTACCACTTGCTCAAAGAAGCTCTCATCGATCATGCTGAGGAATTCAGCGGCCGTGGTGACTTCCCGGCAGTCCAACAGTGGAGTCGTGGCAACGGTGAGACCTGGATGTGCCAACAGAGGGGTTTTGGGGAGCTGCTGACTGTGCTTAATGCCCCCCCGCCCCCTTTTTTGGGGTGTTTTTGCATCCCAGGTATTGTCTACGGGACCGGGGAGCGCTGGCGGCAGCTGCGTCGCTTCGCCATCACCACTTTGAAGAGTTTCGGCATGGGCAAACGTGGCGCAGAGGAGCGAGTCCGCGAGGAAGCCCAATATCTCCTCCAACACCTTCAGCAGACCAATGGTACGAACCCCCGTGTGACCCCCCCCAACCCACCCAGGGCTTCCCTGCGTCCCCCTGACGTTGTGTGTTCCCCCCATCGTTTTAGGGCAGCCCTTTGACCCCACTTTCCTGTTGAGCTGCGCTGGCTCCAACATCATCTGTTGGTTGGTTTTCGGGGAGCGGTTCGAGTACGGGGACAAGCGGTTCCTCGCCCTCATGGGGCTCATCAACGCCAACTGGAAGCTGATGAGCTCAACCTGGGGGCAGGTTAGGAATTTTGGGGCCAAAACACCCTGTTTTGGGCCCCCAAACACCCTGTTTCATCCTTTTCCTCCTCCCGTAGCTGCTCTTCATCTTCCCCAACATCATGCGCTTCGTGCCGGGGCCGCACCGGCAGATTTATGCCAACTACCTGCAACTGGCTGAATTTGTTGGGGAGCGAGTGCAGAGGAACCGGCAGACGTTAGACCCCCAAAATCCCCGAGATTTCATTGACTGCTTCCTTCTGAAGATGCAGCAGGTACCTGCCTCGTCCCTGGGGCTGCTGAATTTTCTCCACCACTACTGGCGCTGGCATTCAACAGCAGGGGGAACCCCCCTTCCCCCCCCCCGGCTCCGGTCTGTTTTGGCAGGAGAAGGGGAACCCTGACACCCATTTCACCGAGGATACGCTCTCCAAGACCACCGTCAACCTTTTCTTCGCCGGGACGGAGACGGTCAGCTCCACTCTCAAATACGGGCTCCGTATCCTGCTCCGGCACCCCGAGGTGGAAGGTATTGGGGTGACAACGGGAAAGGGGGATGTCGCAATGGCACTGACCCCCCAGTTTTCCCCCCTTTGTTGTTTTGCCGTCCCCAGCCCGGCTCCACGAAGAGATTGACCGGGTGATTGGCCGTCACCGTAGCCCCTGCATGGAGGACCGGAGCCGTATGCCTTACACCGATGCTGTCATCCATTTTTTTCGTCCCCTCCTCCCCATGTGTCTCCCCCCCGCCGCCACTCACGATGTCCAGCTGCGGGGGTACACCATCCCCAAGGTACCACGGATGATGTCTCTGGGGGTATGGTGGTGGCTCCCGTCCTGCCCTCACCGCCCCCCCCTCTTTTTGGGTACCCCAGGGTATGAACATCATCCCGCTGCTCTGCACGTCCCTCGTCCCAGTTTGCCCCCAGCCAGTTCGCCAACCCCCAAACCTTTGACCCCGGGCATTTTTTGGATGAAAATGGCCGTTTCAAACGCAATGACGCCTTCATGGCCTTCTCTGCTGGTGAGGAGGGGATGCAAAGCTGCAG